GGTTCCAATAATAGTATGCGTTTTACTGGAGATGCTATTTATCAGGGTCTGTCACAATGCTTTGATAGCACGTCTACTGGAGTCTCACCAAGCAGATATCAGGCATTGTCTCCACGAATCATATTTACGATTCAATTCGTCTATCCTGAGCAATCTGAGAAAGTTTGTCATGGTTCGAGTCCCGATGGGGTATTAATAAGATCTATGCGAGGTCGAAACTGCAGTCCACCTGGATTTGTTTGGGAATACATTTTAGGAAGCAAGACTGTGAAATTCAATAAAAGAGTAAGGTATACTCATATCATTGTTGGAAACGTCAACTATTAGTCCCCTTATCATCTTAAACGAAATAAGGTGAACACACTTCATATGTGAAAATCAAACTGTGATCCCCTGCTGCATCTCGAATGAATTTCTAGTCAATTAGGCTCTGAGCTAGTAACTATAATACCAAATTTCTGTGACGTTTAGTATTATCCATCAAGCATCAAAACTTGTAGTCTTTTCTTCGGGCAAACTACACTCACTCACTACCTAAAAAATTACTATTTGTGTTCTCCTAAATCCACCGTGATATAGTCATTCTTCAGGTACTTGCTTGCTTGCGAGGAAAAGTGATAGCTAAATCTTGATTGAACCAAATCAAAATTATTCATTATATCAGTACCTAAGTAAGTGTAAGCGATATAGTGCGACTTATTCAAGGATTACTGAGTCTTGAGACCATTCACTGACTTTCTCATCATTTTATTCTTATCAGCAGGAACTTGAAGGTTTGTTTTAATAGAAGGATAACTTAGAATGACAGTTTAGAAGTCATGCTCTAAGTTGGGTTTTCATCTGCTGAAAATAGAGTTGGCACTGATCCATCTAGCAGTTGTAAAATGGTATATTTAAACGGACATATGTGAGCCATTTGGAACTTGAAACTTTATATTTTCTAGAATTATTAAACAAATCTGCAAACTCAATTTGCTCCTAAAACAAGTAATCACAATGATGCAGTTTACTTTTAGTAAGGAATACGAACGATTCGCCCTTTTAATAATGCATATAAACTTAGCATACTACTTATTATAAATAAGCAGTGTAGATTCTTAGGCATAAATTATTTGTTTCCTAAAACTACATAATTTAGGGCAAAGCAGTGTGTATTTAGCCACAAATTCCATTGCTTTGAACAGCTTTGGAGCTTTGGAGCTTTCGTTTGATGTTATTCACAATCAAATTACAGTGATCCGGATGTAGGCCATCCGAAATTGTGTTTAGGTTGTACAAAGCCATACTTGTTGGCAGCGACAGGCACAATGACTTCGGGATCTTTTCGGTATTTAATTTTGTCCATTAGGTCTTCTCTCATAGGCTGCTTAATACCACGTCGGCCAACTTTATCGAAAGAGCTGTTCATTCTAAATTTTTCCGGTCAATCTGTCCATATTTGCTGGGGTCTGTAAAACTGTCCAAAGAGTTTAGTAGTAGAGGCTCTACTTGGACCTGTAGAGTGTATTCAGCTCGAGCAACACACCCACATAGGCGAGAACAGAACATGAATAACATATGCAGCATTGTGCATATATAATATATATGTATTTATATGCATATACATGTATATATAATATTATTGAAACCCAGATTAGATGCCGATCCGAAGCGGCGGGACGATGGCAATATAAAATAAGTATGAGAATAAAACTGAGAAACGTAGATATTAAGGAGAGAAAAAAATAAAAGAAAAAGGGCAACGGGAAGAGGAAACGGAAAATGAAGTAAATTCGATTTTAAATGACCGCCTAACCACTCTGAGAAGAGAAACATTGAGCAAAGTGGCTACTTCTAGAAGGTTGCTTCTATAGCGCTCAAATGAAGCAGGTGAGGCGGGGATTTTTTTCGTTGCTGCTGATGGCGTGTTGTGTGTGTGATATGGATTTTGACGTCTATTGCATATGAGCATTGATTGTCTCCATACTCCACGCCCTCCGCGGAGAGGGGTGAACTTTCGCCTACGAATGTCCGGTACTTTCAGAGCATGTGGAGGCCCATGGAAACAAAATAGGCACCAGCTCACATGCGGACAGGGCTGGACGAAACGAGATGACAGTTGGCGTTGCGTCAGCAAGCCGGTTTTTCGTCTGTCAGCAGGTCATCTTAGCTCAACTATTCTGCTCTCGCTACGGCGAAGTACAACTCGAAGCCGTGTGAGGCCAAGACGAGAGAAATGTTGGCCGCCTAGGCAGAAGAAGCAGAAAAAAAGTAAGTAGAAGAGAAAGCATGGTGTAAACCACGGGGGAATAGTCCAGCCCCATTGACATGACAAGCATTGCTGTGATTCTCTTGCGCCCGATTTGGCAGGAGAGAGATGCTCCACAATTCGTCTCTCTGGATGATGCATAAGAACTTGTGTAGAATGCGGTTTGATCCTAAGGGATCATCTCTAACTCTTGGTCACTCTGTCCGGAATGAAATGAAAATAGATAAAATTATATTCTTCTTGTTGAAAAAGTGGCATAAAAATTGAAATTTTGAGTAGATATAAAGCAGTTGATGCTGCTGGGCACGACTTTCGTGTCTGCAATTGTACATGTTGCTATGCCTCTTGAAATTGGGTATTAAGGGGGGAAGGGAAGGACATAGGATAAAAAATAAGTCTCTCCAACTCCCAAAATTCGCCCGCAAGGGATCAAGCGAAAGAATTCGGGCATCGAATGGGACTGAGGCTGTAGAGCTGGAAGGACTTCTTCGTTGCAGAGCGACGTGAGTTCGGCCCCCGGGAGGGAGGAGACACGAACACCCGACGTGAGTGTCGTCCTTCAACTGCCCAAACAGAGGACTGGAATGGTTCCTGACATTTTGGAAGTTTATACTACCGGGTTTTACGAGAGTTTAGCCCAAATCGTCTCCTGCCCCAAGGAACAGGAGGGAGTCATGGTGTCCTCTTTACACGTCTCCGGGCAGGCTGAAGGATCTACCATTGCTTTGGTTGACTTGATTGGTGCAACTAGCGGAATGAGAGGGAAAAGCGGACGAACAGAGCCAAAATGAATAATAGTATAATGACTATCTATATAGTAGCTCTTAAATAAGATATGCATTCGCCTCAGGTTGCATGAGGTGATAAAGGAGTGATAGTTGAAGTTTCTCATAGTGATACCAGTATTATTGTGGAAAAATGCAATTAATGACTGTAATTCATGAGCCGGAGCAATTTGCATCAATTTTTGATTCGGGCAACATCTTGAACTTAAAAAATCCACTCGTGATGTCTAACTTTGAAAAACACGGAAACTAGGTTTATCCTGTCCTCTCACTTTAACTAAGAATACTAAACGTTAGTAACAGTGATGGTGGATAGATATAGCTAAATGATAACGGTAGAAGCGAGATTGGTCCTAATATGAGCAAGCTATTACTCTTAGTAATAATTGGATTATATGCACAAACGTACTACTAATGGAGGAGCAGTAGTGTGTTCACTAGACTACCAAGTATAATGTAGAGCTTATTTCCATTCAAGTAAAATTGTCGGGTGAAGAGAATCAAAGGTCGATCTCATGAGTAGATGACGGCAGATTCCTCTTCACCACCCGTCGATTGGCTTTACTGGAGCATTCTTGTCAATGCTGTTTGCCAGGCGATCTCCTTCGGATCTGAAGAAAACGGGCCAAATTTACGTACATACATCATCAGAGCAGGGTATCATTTTTACAGCCACATTAAATCTAACGAGTTAGGAAAGCTTTTCACGCTTGGAATCAACCTTCGAATCTCTTCACCAAAGACTTTCACTCGAAATGGAAGTTAATTCAATAGTTATGAACCAAGAGATTCCCACAAACTCAACTTTTCTTCGCATATACTAATTATGCCACTAGGGTTACTGCCATCTTTGTAAGTAGTATTTACAATCATTCACGTAAAATGTAAATAAAATGTTTGTAACATTACTTGCAGTGGCAAAATGAATATTTAATTATATATTATCTCAGGTCGGCTCCACTGTTTCATCTATTAAATATACTAATTCAATGGCCAGCAGTAAGTTCACCGATTGCATAGACTTTTTGAGTGCCCTTGTGAGCGCTGGACGGCGATGCGGAAGAGGGTTGGCTGGCCTCCCGGCCGAGGACGGTGCGGACAAACGGTAGCTGGGCCGAGGCGAGAAGATCAGCCTCCTGTCCGAGGGTTTTTTGGCAACTGGCCTCTTCGTCGGACCAGCCTCTTCCTGAGTCGGATGCGGAGGTCAGATCTTGGCTGACCCGGGATCCTAGTCCGATCTCCAGCCGGCTCGGAACACGCAGCATCGTCTCGGCAGCTGACGACAGCGACGGTGTCACCGTGTCGGGAAGGGCCACTTCCATCAGCCTACGGTCTGGTTCACTACAGCAGTTGGACTCGGGCAGAACGTCGCCTCGCGGGAGCCAGGACTCGAAAGTCGGTTGAAACACATCCATCACGGAGCGTCGGGTCATGGACGCCTGACGGTTTTGTGTCCCTTTACTCTCGGAGGACAAGTGAACCTTGGGGGAATAAGACTACTCATGAGTATACTCGAATTTATTTTTACATATAAATAAATATATATATATATAACATTTTGTATATAAGTAATATCACCATGAGAATGAGGTTGGTAAATGGCTCGGATGAAAGAAAGCCCAAACCAATCGATGGTCTAATATTCCTGGTTCGAGGCCGAATGTTGGTGATGATGATGGGATAACTAGGAACATAGTGTGTCTTTATGGAACAAGGATCACTCACCCGTAAGCTATGTTGTGATGCAGCCTCATCTATCGGTTCGTGAAGCGTCTGGCCATGACAGAATGCGATCGGACGGAGGATAGAAAAGGTAGAGATCCTTCCGACAGGAGCGGAATCTGCAGTAAACATCGTTTGACAGAGGTCTCTGGCCTCACAGCTCTGGTACACTGCGCCTTTGCCGTCGCCGTCTCCGGGGGTCTTTACGAGGTAGGTCGGAGGGGGGCTGTAAGAGTCGCTTGCAGTTGGGCAGACCAAGGACTGCTCGTTGAAGAGGTTGATGTAGACGGCTTTTGCGCCAGTGTTCAGGCCGCTTCTTGACGCTGCGTCCGAGAGGAAGGCGGGACCAGAAGAGGTGAAGTTGGAGAGCTCGGACTCGGACTCGGGCTCGGGCCTGTTTACAGAGGATGACTGAAGTTGCGTCTTGATATCGGGCTGGTGGGTCGACCGGATAGTGGTCGGAGATGGGTTGGTCGATCCAGTATCGGAGGATGGCAGAAACGACCAGGAAGTTGGTTGTCGGGGCGACTGTACTTTGGGGCTGTGCGTTTGTGCCAGAACGGAAGGGGTGTAGTACGGCGATGCAGTGAGCGGAACGGCGGCAGACCACGAACGAGATTCCTCGATTTGGGGAGCCTGGAAGAAAAGCACTATGATTAGTAGCGATTTCATGCGCAAATATCACAGCTCAAAAACAGAGAGATGTATTCACTCTATTTCGTTTAAGGTGATGAAGCAATGGTGTTAGAATTTTACCACAATGATATGAGTAGAGCTGAGGTTTACATTGAATTTCACATAGCCTCGCTTGCCTGAGAGGTGTTCTCACCCATGGTGGACTGCGGTTTCGACCTCGCATCGGTCTTATCAACACCCCCCGCGGGAGTCGAACCTTGACAGTGCAGAATGGGAGCTTGACACGTTAACCACTCAGCCACACTGCCACGAGTGCCTTTGGGTCACAGAGCAAATGTGAATTTCAAGGAAGGCCATAGCATATTCTTTGGTGGGATTGTCGATGAAGAAAACGTATATTTGCTATAACAGTCAACTATGTTACTTTATTTTTCGCATTTAAGTATTGTTTCGAGACCTGGATGAGAACAAATTTTGGAAAAGCACGGCTATGTGATGTGGGAAATTTCTTCTACCAGTCCTTCATCACCTTAAACGAAATTTCGTCAATACATTTCATATTACTGATTTACTGGTAGTCTCTAAACTCTACTTAAATGCGAAAAATGAAGTGGCTTAATTTCGA